GGCAATGGAAAATGCCAATCCAAAGATGGCCCCTTCTGTACATATGGCAAATTGGCACTAACCACACAAATTCCTAGATAGGTGCTTAGCTGAAATTACAGGCAGGTGTGTGTTTTCATTCAGCTTTCCAGCTTCAAGCACTGTAAAAAGCTTACAGTGACTTAGGGGGGTGGTGGTGGTCTAGTGGGTAGGGATCTGGCTGAGCTCCCATTAGGAACACCGGAAGGTTGTGAGTTCACTCCCAGGGGATGCCACCATTGTGCCCCTGAGCAAGGCCCTTGACCCCAGCTTGCTCCCGGGGGACTGTCCCTGTAGATACAGCACTTCACTGTAAGTCGCTTTGGATAAAAGTGTCTGCTAAATGAATAAATGTAAATGTTTTACTGTAATATATGTGTTGCCATACCCACTGTTTTTGCACAGATTACATTGTGTTGCCTTGCAAAAAGGAAAGGGCAGGGGGGGACGACACTCATTGACCTCATTTGTATAGATGGTAACGAAGCAGCAAACAAAAACAAAATTACGTAATTTCTGCTAAAAGCATAATTATTTGTGTTAGTGCAAGTGCATAGTGTCCTTTGTCTGTCAAAATGCAGCATATTTCAGTTTACAGTGCTCTAAATTTCATTAGGTTTTGACCTGAAAGTTAACTGTTTTGAACAGATTATCTAAACGTCTGAAAAATCGGCTGTAGTTGTACAAAGTTTTGCTGGTAGCGAACACTGACTGAGAGAAGTATTCATGAAATTTGGGGGAAGTGGTGATTGAATGCATATTGTGTCAAAGCAATGCAAACGTGTACATAGTTTAGCTCACATGGTCCAATGGCATGGTGCATGTGTTAAGTGTTTTGAGAAACTGGACATGGTATTGAGCATGGGCGTAAATTACGGGGGGATGGGGGGGTTGTACCCCCCCAATAAATCAAGACCAGCTAATACAGCCCCCCCCCCCGGTAGTCATGTTTCCCCCGTAATGGGTGGAGACCTCAAACCCCCCCGATGTTCCAGCCAAAGTTACGCCCTTGGTGTTGAGACATGCGTTAAAATGACTGGGGAAAACTGTAATATAGTCAGTCAATCAACTGTGTCCTTGTTGTACAAAGAGAAATAATATTTATTCAAAATTGACTGAGGGTACATATGGATACTGAAAAAGTTATTTACTAGCTATTGCCTGCACTGGTTGTATTTTGCATAATGTTTTGAATTTCAATTGAATTTTGAACTAAACTTCACTTTTATATATGCATATGTACTATCCTAACTAAGATGTTGATGGATCTCTTAAGAATGCAGTTTTGTTGTTTTTAGTTATTGCTGAGACAGGGACAATACAAATCACGCATTAACAAACACTGAAGACCCCGACCAACAGGTTGAAAAATGGGTGATAGTTTGCCTACAGTTCCTACAGTGTCCACTAGGTGGTAGTGCAACCCCAATATTTTCCCCTTCACTAGGGATAGGTCTTGTTGAAACAGCGTTGAACCAAAAAACACAGATGCAATGGTTATGAATGGACCTTGGCACTTTCGGCAGTTGACCAGCTTCACTAACAAGGCCTTGGTTAATGAGACCGCCTGACAGGGCTCCTTGTGAGGTTTTTAAAAGATTTCTGTGATCCTGAATCTGTTCAATCATCAGCATTAACCAATCGGCATGAAACCCCAGGGCTACTGAAAGCTGCATTCCTGTCTAAGCCAAGCTCCCTGCTGGGCCACCAACCAAGTCAAAATAAATAAATAAAATAATAATCACTACAGCAACAAAGCACTCTGGGAATTTTAATTCACAGATTAAATTCAACCACAGATCTTGCTGCTGTAAAATCAGAGCCCACAGTCCTTCCTCTCCAAAGCCGCACCTCTCCGCACTATGGAGACATGTACATGCTAGATTGCACTGAGGGGAAGCGATGTCATTCCTGGGGAATCGGACGGGAAGCTTTTGAACGGTAACAGCGGTTGTCGTTCCCAAAAACGGTGATATTTTTTTCTTTTTTGCTCCAGGTGCCTTAAATGTTTATTCTTTTACCCCAAAGCAAAGGTGTAGGGTTGTATTATGAAATGTGTTTATATTATGGGTATATGTCATTCGTCTTTCCCAGAGTTCTGTGGGAAGCACAAGTTTGCTTGTTTGTTTAAGCTATTTACTATTGGTGGGTTTCGCCGAGAGGCTCTTGGCTTTTTTTTTTTTGTTTGACTTCAAAAGTGGGTGCATGGAGCAGAAAATGAGATGTAAGCATTGTGTTTTTTTTCTCCTCTCTCCAGCAGCTCCATGCTACTTCACATGGCATGGTGCTTCGGGGGTGGGGGGCTGGGGGGGGGGCTATAACCTCAGTAGCCATCGACTGAAACAGACCAGCAGGGAGAATCAATCCCAGACTACTGCCATGCATTGGCCAGACTCTCACCTGACACGCACGTCCCAGGAAGAGAAAGATACAGAATGCCTTCCCTGCTTGCCGTTTGTCCAACTCATTCGTATCATTTTTAATGGATTCTAACCCCCCCTGCTTCCGCACTCTGACCCCATCCAATTTGGAAGTACAGAATTTGCGGTGAAGGTTGCAGATAATATTATCATCATTAAACTGCTTACTCTGGGCCCTGTAATCAGTTCATGGACGCAGGTTAAATAACAGGTTATCCAGGAGGGACCTGTGCTGTTTTGCTGATAGGTCCACCTGCTCTCCCCTGCACTGTCAGACAGCAGCTCCCCCCCCCCTACCCTCGGCCTGGCCCAGTCCCCCGCCGGTGTGCCCGCTGGATGGCTCTCTCCGTTTGTCAGGACGCAGATGGGAGTTTCACTGCGTGCGTCTCTCTCCAGCCACCGCCACCTGTGTCGCGCGGAGGCGAACGTGCCCCCAGCCGAGGCCTGGCCCAGTCTGAGCCTCGGCGTACACGAGCCGGCCTGACTGCACAAGAATCAAGTCCAGACACATGTGATTGGGACATTCCAAGAAAAAAAAAACACAAACAAAAGAATTAAGCAAAAAATGTGGTTTGAAACACTAAAATAATGGCTAATATAATATTAATTAGAAAATAGTAATTTGCTTATCTTTACAAAACAAAAACAGCAAAACATGTTGGTAAATGTATTTATAACACAAATTAGAACTGGTTTTAATTTAATTAACTCGGATATTTGGTAGAATTAACAAAAAAGGATCTATGGTAAAAGTTTATGTAAAAGGTAAACACAGCAGGTATAATGAAACTTCTTTATTGGCCTCAGAAAATGTGGCAATTTCACTAATAAATCTACAGCGACAGCAACAACAGGAAGTGGAAGCGCGAAAGCCCAGCTTCCTTTGGGTTACCTGAAGGCGCGCAGATTGCTAAGCCGCCCATAAAACAGAACCTTTTTTTTTCTTCTACTGTCATTTCCTTTTATTCTTCCTTTCTATAATTTTCGGTTGCAATATGTTGCCGAGAGATTAGGTTTTCCCACACTCGGTGTTCGGCACAGTGATATGTGTGTCACTAACACCCCCCTGAAGAAATTGATTAAGGAGGGTGACGGGGTCATGGTTTGAGAACGGGGGCCTCGTGGCCCCCACTTTCAGCTGGGCTCAATTACTTCCTTCAAGCCCCTCTGGGTCCCGTTTGCCGTCCGTCCTGCATCCAGCCAACACAAACCTCAGCCGAACAACCTGCGGACAAAACGGCCTTTCACCAGCCGGCCCCCACACTCCCTCTGTGATTCCACCCAAGGTTTCTGGGCCGGGATGCCACAGGGCAGGGCGTCCGTAACCGGGGCCGTGTGGTGAAATGCTCAGTAGCATGAATCCGCCAATCAAACATGCTGTGAGTCACTGAAGGTAAAGCCGTCTCCTTGGTGAGCGGCAACATCCAAACTGACATGCTCGCCCTTCCAGTTTAACTAACTAGCTACGATTTTTAACACACAGGCTCTAAAAACACTCCATAATTCTGGTGTCGTGCCCTCCTCACTCTTTATACCTACAGTTCCTCCTTTTTTTCAGCCCTGGGGCCTGGATTTCTTGCTTAGCTGGATAACTCGTGGGATTTAAGGTGCCCCAGTTCAAATGCACTTCTTTGTTCACTTACATTTAGCCCAAACTACCTTAAATCCGACAAGTTATCCAGCTAAGCAAGGAATCCTGCTTCATGATACAGACCTGTGGACTTGGGTCGTGCCCTTTCACCAAACCCCTTCCTCCCTAGAAGCGCACGTGTGGTGTACACTAAGCACGATGCGTAATTATGAGCAGTGTGGTGTACACTAAGCACGATGCGTAATTATGAGCAGTGTGGTGTACACTAAGCANTGTACACTAAGCACGATGCGTAATTATGAGCAGTGTGGTGTACACTAAGCACGATGCGTAATTATGAGCAGTGTGGTGTACACTAAGCACGATGCTTAATTATGAGCAATAATAAGCTGAAGCATGTCAATGCCTGCGGCACTATCTGCAACAGTCGTTGACTCCCTTACTCCCCACCCCGCGCCCCCCACCAGCACACTGACAAACAGAAACATTAAAATGAATCACGGAGAGGGAGCTCTGTCAAGATTTCTTCAGCTCAGAATAAATCTCAGCACAGGCTCTCACATTGGTATGAATTCATTAAATGAGATTAGGAGAACCTGCGTTGGCAGACGTGACTTCCAGTTACAGACTGTGTGCTCAACAGATCACGGGGGGCAATATTACTGAGCCCATCAATATCAGGTGACTCTGACTGAAGTACTGAAGAGTTTTAGTCAATGAGTTCTGTAACTTTCATGTGTCTTGAACTAAAAGAAAGTACTATGTATGAGTCAGTGTTAACTCCTCCCATAGCAATGCTATGCTAAGTAGCAATGCTAACGGATCTGGCTTTACAAAGGGTAGCTCACCCTCAAATTAATAATGTGCCCCCTCAGGTGGAAGTCAACCAGCCCATGACTGTGACTTGGCTGGCAAGGTCGTGCCCCCCTCACTAATTTCAGATGCCCCTTTGTGTTTTTGTTCTGGGCCGGGCAGAACTAGATATGCTAACTAGCTATGCTAAATAGCTATGCTAACTAGCTATGCTAAGTGAAAATAATGTTGTTTGAACTTTTGTTCTTCTGTGCCTTTCATATACCTTTTCAAATCTAAGCTTTTCATCTCATTTTCTTGGAGGAAAAAAAAAAGAATATTATTCATGTACCTTATGATAAACGAAATCACCCCCCACAAATCTCTGCTATTGTTTAGCATCTTGGGAAATTCCCTGACTGCTAACTCTTTGTGCCGTTCACAGTGGCAGTCGCTGCAAAATCATCCTCCTGCGCTTGCTGCATGGAAATGTCGCATTCATCGCCCCGAGGCCAGTGTGCGGCGGGCCGCAGCCTTGCCCTCGTGTTCGGCACGGGAGCTGGGCGGCTCGCGGAACAACGGGAGTAGGTGATGTCATCCTGTCCAAATGAATGGCGCAGAGGGGACGGCGCTGAAAGCGGAGCGCTCTCTCCCGGCGCTCTGCCATTACCTTTTGTCTGTGTGATATAGCAGTAATCCATCACAGGATCGTGGAAGATTATCACGCCTTTTAAGGAGGCTGAGCCTCGCTGTGGAAAGTCCCTCTGCTACAGCGGCTAATGGAGGCTAGGAGGGAAGGCAGTGTTGCCGGTTGCGACCCCTGCGCGTTTGAATTGATACCCGGCGGGTTTGCAGGCCTCCCAGCGTGTTTGCAGGCCTCCCAGCGGGTTTGCAGGCCTCCCAGCGTGTTTGCAGGCCTCCCAGTGGGTTTGCAGGCCTCTGAGCGGGTTTGCAGGCCTCCCAGCATGCATATCCCTATGGCACTTAGTATTCTTACATAATTAATGCTGGGCCTCAGCTGGAGAGCGGAAAAAAATTAGTGTGGATTCATCGGGGGGGGGGGGGGGGGGTCGGTCATTGTCAGGTGCATGCAGGCACACACACACACACACACGCACAGAATCCGACAAGCATACACAAAAACCAATTCACCCAGTGGACACACACAAACCACAGAGTTACATGAGCGTGTACAGAAACCCAGTTCACACACAGGTACACTGTGTCTTGTTTAAAAAAAAGCAAAAATAAACAGGAATGCTTGTAAGACGAGCCGTGACTAATTTACAGTTTGCGACTCTGGCAGTGAGCTCCAGCTGGAAACTACAGGGCGGCTTGTGTCGGGATGTCGCTGGTGAAAGCGCGACCCGTTTGAGGAGCAGAATGTAACCTGAGCAGTGCCTGGGCAGGAGCATGCCAAGATGCGTCAGCGGCATGACAATCGGGACCCCCCCCAATCCAAATGTGCCGTAATGGGAGCCAGGGCTCTGACAAGTGGAAAAAAAATCCCAAACTTGTCGACGGCAGTGGCCTGGTTGCGACATCGTTCTGAGACACAAAGGGACATTTGTGCGAATGCCAGTCAATCAAGCAGACAAGGTTGGGATTATGAGTTAAAATATCTGATAAGTTGTTTATTTCTGTAGTGAATTAATTTCTTTACTCTGCACTGCAGTTTACAGAAAGTAGTGACAAAATATAAATAACAAAATTCAACAGTGTTTCTTAACTCTTTTTGTTTTTAATCAAAAATCTCAGTTTAAATTGGCGAAATGTTCATCATCTTTAAGCCTCGTCCATTCTCTCGTTTGCGCTCTCCAAAAACGGTGGGACATTAAACAACGACAACTTCGATAACATATGGGTAATATTATTTACAACACTTGCCTTTTGGCAAACAATGCTTGTAGCTTATTGGAAATTGACTTCCAAATGTAGAATGCAACAAAAGAAAAATACAATTATGTTGTACAAAATCCAAAAAATACTATTAAAAACCCTTATTATAAATGGTAGCACTATACATTTATAAACTCCAAATGCTGACATTTTACATATAAGTACAAATTTGTATTATTTGAAAATTCTGTTGAGGTAGTGACCTCTTAAGTCAGTTATTATAATGTTAAAATATTGAATAAACATTACACGCATTCTATATACAATACAGCAAATCTTTACTTTTTATTTCATTAAAATTGTATTCCTTTGGTAAACATCACTGTCAGAAATGTGCAGTCCTCAAAGTGTCACTTTCAACTTTATTTTACATTCACATTTTGCATCTTTTTTGGATTTATTCTGGTAAATAATACAAAAAGGGATAATACAGTTTTAAAAGCTTTTTAATGACATTCATTCGTGCTATAGGACTTGTAGCATTTCACGTTAAAAGCCTAGTGGCGATATCAACTAGACTTTTACTTTGTAAGCTACCATTTCCCCATATTGTGATACTATGTTGGAACGAAATGGACAAAACGGAACAGAATCAAAATTGTCGTCATGGTAATGCGGTGCAGGATAGATACTCCATAAGAAACGAAATCCAGTGTTCACCCGGAGCAGTATATGTATGTAAACATCAGGAGTACCTCTGGGTCTTTATTTCTCTTATGTCTATTCTTAAAGTCGAGGCGACAGCAACTCCTGTATGGTTTTTGTTGCATTTTGGCAATGTAACTGGTAATCGTGACGTTTCGCCGCAACGCAGAGTTACAAAACAGAGAACCCTTTGTGTGAAGTGTGTTTTTCTCTCTCTTCTTCTTAACGAGTATCAAATGTCATGGCGTTCGGAGAATGAAACTGCGCTCTGGAGCGGAAAGGGGCAGTAATTAAAACACACACACACAACGTAGAAAGTAACAGGGCTGGCATCCAAATATCACAGACTGGAAACATTCCATTTCTTTTTATAATGCCGAACAAAACTTTGGTTCTTATGTTAAGCAACAGGAAAATGTAAGCATCGCTTACTGTGAAGAAGTACTTATGGGAGTTCAACTGTTATACTCCCTCAAATTGTTTTCCAGAAAAAAACGTTACCCCCCTGAATAAAATACTTTTTTATTAACAAAACGTGATTATGAATGAAGGTGCAAATAATGTACAGTCTAAAAAAACTGCGCACTATGGGGTAGAAATAAATGACGCGTTAATAGAAAATAAACAACTATACAGATAAAATATACATTTCACTGTAAAAAAACAAAATAGATTTTTTTTTGGGAAAGTATTATGAATATGTATGAATGACAATCGTGAATCAGTTTGGACCGGGGAAAGCCGCAATAAAACAGTCATCTGAAAAAATATATCTTCAGTGCAATTGTTAAATTTAGACTTACATATTTTAGAATTTTTCTTTAGAATATTTTCAGTCTCTTACCACCCACTGCCCTCCCTCCCTTTAGCGGCCGTTGAGCTGGCTGGTCTTTGGAAAGCGGACAGTATTTTATTGTATGGGCATTATCCCCATTGGCACTGCATAGAGGGCATGTGTAAGCTCTCAGGATGGGACATACGACTCTTCCGTCGGGCGTCTTCAGCACATGGGATCCGTACACCTCCTCCGGCGCTCCGTTATTCCTACAGAAGACGCAGATCCTCGGCTCCTGCTTATTCCGCGGGCTCGCTTTGCGCATCTTCCGCTCCGCACCGAAAAGGTCGAACCCAGAGAGGCTCCCACCAAAGCCGGACTCCCTGTCTTGCAGGGGGAGGCCGGTGCTTTGGTTGTGAAAAGGGCTGAAAATGGAAAAGCGTTCCTTCAAGTCAAGGATGGAGGTAGGCGGAGGGCTGACGGAGGGACAGCAACAGTCCAAGTGTCCGCCTTCACCTACGCCGCCGATTACGCAGGGACATGCCGGTGAATCGTCCAAACCTAGAGTTGCTTTCAGGGACTCCGTGATGGAGTTGGGACTCTGCGGCATGCTGTTCTTGTTATTTTTCGTGACCAGTGTCGACAGACCCAAGTAGTCGTTCCAGAAATTAAAGGTGTAGTCATACGAGGTACGAGCGTTCAAATAGTTGTGATTTATGAAATCCATGCTTCTCTCCTCTTTCGCAAAAACACAAATAGATTCCGCCAGATCTTTTCTTTTTGTCAGTCGGTGGAGTTTAATTTGTGTATAGGAAGGGATGAAGCGCAGGTTTCCAGTGATTCCTTGTGTCTAAACGTCTGGTCAGAAGCCTGCTGTTTTTAAGCCCCCCTTAGAATGAAAGAGCAGGAGGAGGGCGGGGCTCTTTATTTTTTTTAAACCCAAGTTTATGATCAGGTTGAAAGCACATTTCTGGGTGCCGTGGTTGCCAGACATGGTTAGTGCAACCAGAGTGGGCTGCTTCTTCTACCCGCCGATTTGTGGCATAGAGAAAAATGCATTCAGCTATATTATTATTTAACGTATATGAAAATAATTTAAGTGTTACTAATCGCATATTGCTGGATTTATGTAAGCCTACTGGAAAACTTTTTACATTTCTGCTTTCTCAATCGAGTTATTTTCCGTACCGTGAAGTTTTTGTTTTTATTTGCTTATTTTTTTCAGTATGTCCCCAACATGACTGACCGTGTTTGAACTTTGGGGTGAGGGCGCGTTAGTTTTAAATCCAGCGCTGACTCTGGCAACCGCGCTGTCATCGAAATCCGTTTAGGCTGCGCGGTTCCCACTTCCCAGTGCGACTACAGCGGGCAGGGAAACAGCGTGTGATGGTGTACTCTCGTCAGACAGAAAGCAATAACAAAATGAAAACGGTTCGGTTTTATATGAAATAAAGCGAAACTCTTTAGGGTCATCAGTTATAAGCCATCGAAATGTAATTATTAGAAACATGATATACTTTTAAAAGTGGAGAATATTATTTTGCTAACCTATGTATTACTCAAGATCACTGTTTAAGTAAAAAAATACATTAAAAAAAACTCTAGATCTGAATTTCTCTATGACTGTAAGAACCAGATAAGTTGGGAGGTCTTTGCTTTGAACTAAATGCATAGAAATATGCCTGGTTTAGTTCTGATGGTTTCCGTAGCTAAGAAATTAGAGGCTTTCCGTGAGATTTACTGCATGTGCCCGGAGCGCCCCATTAACTACGCTAAGAGAAAGAGTTTATCATCGCAAATGAGCGGCGAAGCATATGACAGGAGCGGCGCCTTCTTCCGTGGCTCTGGGCGGCTTTCGGTGGTGTATGTCGGCTTATATTTTTATTTTTATCATCTATTGAAACTCACAGGACTCCCGCTGAATGTCGCGACTGACATGCAATCGTCTGTTTAAAGCAGTAATGGCGAAAATAACCGATTACTCAGAGTTATCCATTAACAGTTAGTGGCCTCTTCTAATTTAAACTTTATTTGCGGTTCCCCTAAGCTAAATTATTAACATGACGCTGGCACAGGTCACTGTTATCGCTGAAGCCATATCCATCGAGGTGTTTTCATTTTCATTCCCAGCTGACACGAAGCATTTTACGAGTATAAACGAAACACATTATAATCTGTTTTAATCTACTTACGCATCTAATTCGACTCGTGCATGATCATATTTTTATAGCAGCAGTCGCAATATTTCTGCGACGAGCTATTTAGTACTAAATACTGTGTGCGAGTTATATCTGTCGATGTACTAAGCTGCTGCTGGCTCTTTATGTGGTGCCGCTCTGGCTCTGGCATCCAGTGAATAGGCTTTTGCCATGGGAGCGCATTGTTGTATGAGCTCAATACTGAATAACTAACGGAGAGCTGGCTTGTTTTTTTCGAAGCATGAGGGTCCATAATGATTGGACTGGCTGAAGGAAACGGGAGACCTTTGCACGCTGGATGCATGCATTTCTTTTCTGTTTTTTTTTTTTTTACTTTCCCCCTTTTTCGGGGGTGGTGGGGGTTGGTGAATTTATGCCTTTGAGGGCTGGGCAGAGGCTGTCAGTTGAGCCAGCTAAGCGGCCGCTAATTCCCGTTAGCGGATCCTGGCGGGACTGGTGGGAGTTGCGGTGCTCCGCCACTGGGTGTCTGTGTGTGCTAACTGGAAACCAGGCAGTCCTGTTACATTAAGGCTCGTGTTGTTTCAGCTGCTCTGTGACGTAACAATCGTCCGTGTGCTGAAGCCCTTCATTTCCTTGTATTTTTTATTTTTTTTTGGTTGCTATAAATGTCTTTGTGGGAGTGATGTGTTTTTTTTCACCAACAGTTAGCAGCGTGAAAGTGTAGCTGTTTTATCTTGGAATCAGACGAGGACTAAGTGAAATGCGCCTTAAAGGGCCTGAATAAAATTGCTCAGAGTGCTACTTGCGCTCCTGGCCTGTGAAAGAGAGGCGACCAGATGATCAGGAATGTTGATGGCGGAAGAGAGACAGAGGGACTTTTGTTTTGAAATGCGTAGAGGTGGGATTGTGGCATCCCACACAGGATGGAAGCGATTGTACTTACTGTGGCACTATGCCCGTGGTAGCCAGTGCTGACTTGACAAAGTAAGTTTACACAGTATTCTGAGGGAGATTGTGTTTTGCAGGGTCACAGTGGGCCCAGAGTCTATCCCAGGAGGCGCATGGAACAAAAGTAGGGGATATCTTTCATGGGACATCCGTCACCGCAGGACACACAGTGTCACCCACGCACTATCACATACTGTGAGCAATTTTGAGACACAGAGTCACATATTCGGACTGTGGGAGGACACTGGAGTACCTGGAGGAAGGCATATTAACAGAGGAAACTGCGTGTAAATCTGTTAGCGTGGCTACAGGCCGAGAAATGGCACCCAAATCGCAGGAGGTGTGACACTGCAAAGATAAGCCCTGCTTCACCTTTCTGTTTAACATGGAGATGAAGTCCTTTTGCAGGCTTTCGTCCTTCATATGAACGTAATGTACAACCCAAATAGACTAAATGTTGAATATGTATTAAAAACAAAGGTTTGAATTAAAAAAAAAACAAGCCACTTGTCAGACTTTTCTGACTTCACCATCATATGTGCTGCAATAACAATCGCATGTCACTAATGGTGTTGGGTGCCCGGATATTTTCTCACATGCTTGAGCGCTGCTGGGAGGTGTCTCTGTTGAACGTCAAGCCAGTGTATTCATCCGAACCTCCTTTGGCCAATAGCCCATTATTGATGCGCACAGACAGCGATCTATCGATCGGCCAAAATGCTGCATCGATCGGTGTCAGCTTGTCTTTCCACATCGACGGACCCGGCAGACGAAGTCGGCATTGTTCTCTATGAGGCCTTTCACTGCGCCTTTCAAGCGTCTGCCCGAACATCAGCCATTTCAGAGAATCTTTTTAAGAGACACTTTTTTGTTATGAACTTTTCATCACGGACATCAAAGAGGGGGGAGCGGGGAGAGCCTGACAGCCGGGGGGGTGGGGGACGGGACATCCGTGAGGCAGCGTTACGCGATGGCTGCTTTGTACTTGAACGCGTACGCATGCTCCATCACATAGGCGCCCGTCCAGTAAAGCCAGAGGCAGATTCTAGGAGATGACTGACAAGGATGGATCTGGGTGACAGGTGGACAATGAATCAATCTTCTAGATCTGCTACATAAGAGTCAAGCATAAATAATCGAGGTGAATAGAATCGGTATGCAAATGTAGATGCTACTGACTGTAGAAGTTTACAAAGGCGACGTCGGGAACAACAGAAGACAATTAATGAAATATCTTTGTGTCGGCTTTGAGTTGACATCAGCTTTTGCGGAAGGTTGGCGCGTTGGAGCGGCTTGGTACGTTCGTACATACGAGACCCATCAAAATATGCGTCTCCTTGGTGTGAATGGCCAGTTTGTGTAAAGGAATCTACCAAAGCTTAACTGGTAAGGCGTTTGAGCGTGGTTAGGAATGCTAACGCGAGACTAATGCATACTTTCTTTATTGCTTCAAAGGGCTTGTATGAACCAGGGCCAGCTCAGTGCCACAGGCAGATTGACTTGAAGAACAATTGCTCTAACAAACATCCCTGTTTTGGCTAAACCCTGTGCCTCATGTGCTATAGCCTAGTTCAAAGGGCTTGGTTTAAATGTTTCATTGGGCTCTAACATGTCTGAAATGTATATTTTTTGGATGCAGTTGTGTAACACATGGTTATTGGCTAAATATTTCATGGGGCAAATTAGTGTTGGTGAATCAAAAGGGCTTTTGAAGTTCAGTAAACCTGACAGGTCAGAGCAGGCCTGCAAGATAAAATAAACAATTGGAAAGTTGTGCGCGTGTGTATTTGTGTGTGTAATAATGAAGCTCTGTCATTATCGCAGGTCGTGTTTTGATTAAACGTGCTTCAGCTCTCCCAGCTTTCAGCTGCCGCACATCAATCAGGCATTTTTAGCCGAGAGTCTTCTGTAATCGATATTCTGTCCCTGTCTCGTCAGCGTATCCTGCCAAACTCACTACTTTCGCGGCCATCATCCCGAACACCTGGGATTCTGTGTGTATTTTTTTTTTATTCTTATTTTTTCCCCCAGAGATTCAGGGTCATGTGACCGGGGCATTCGGTATGGGTGCGCTTCTCCAAGGAACCAAGGAAATGATGTAGCCGAGCTTATCGAAAGCAGAGAACATGTTCACACTGAAGCGGCTTCGCCTAAATGCACTCGTGGGCATGTAGCCAGTCCTCCACTGAGATTTATCTGAATTGACAGACTTCTGTTTAGTTGCAATTACTGGCAACCCGCCTTAGCATTAAAACACCCACGTATAAGTGCCCACATTAGCTCACATTAGCTCATGCACACATCTTTACTAATCTCTTATCCATTACAGGCTTGTGGTGCGCCTGGGTCCTGTCCCAGGGAGCTTAGGGCATGAAGCAGGGGGCATCCTGGACTGGATGCCAGTCCATCACAGAGCACACTCTCATACACACCATAACACTCTGTGGGTCATTTGGAAACACTAATACTCCGAACCATGAGTTTGGATTATGGGTGGAAACTGAAATCCCTTCCCTAACACTGCGAGAAAATACAAATAGTCGGAGGTGATGTGAATGAATACATATTTAAAAAATATATCTATTTTTTTTTACCTTTTTGAATAGAATATATATCCAGTGTCAATTTTTACTGGTTTGGTCCCCTTTATAGACGTCCTGTGTGGCTTTATAAACAATGTGGCGTCTTCTTTGATCTTGCTAGTTAACGCACAGTGATGCTCTGCGTTTTGTCACTTAGCGAGACTCGGAGGGGCGGGGGGCGACACATGCAATCGCAGTGAAAGTGTTTCACTTC